GGCACCATGCCCCCGGCCCCGCACCGCCCGCCCCGGCCGAGCACCACCGAGCCCTCCCGATTTTCCCGGACATGCCCGGCTTTTGGGGATTTCCCCCTGGACGGGGATTTGAGCCCCCAAAAGCCGGACATGTCCGGGAAAATCCGGACGTATGGTAACCCTACCCTGGACTAGCTTGGGCAGCTCCGTGCTTAGCATTTGGGCGTTGGTGGCTCCAGTTCAAAGACACCTGTCTCTCCCTATTCATTGCATTGGTGGATCGCCGTGTTGTTCCTGTGACTTTCTAGGCATCTAAAGGTTAGGCGCCATGATGCCGAATGCTGCAACGCCCAAGTCCATTTGTGGATCAGGGCCTAAAACTCTTCTGGCTAATTCCCCTGTGAGAACGGCCCCAAAATCTGTGGCACTCAACCCATTCTGGCAAAGGGAACCGCTGACCTGCGGCAATCCCCATGACTGAGACAAAGGCCCTAGGTAGCCACATACACGTATGTCCAGCTTGGCTGGAAAGGAGCCTCTCTGTAGAAGGAGCATTGGGCTAAATTCTCTGCTGGTGGTGTAACTCCACCAAAGTCAACTGAGCCCTCAGGGACTTTGGCCTCATGTCCGAAGAGGCACCGCTTCCATTTCAGCTTCGACAAGGTCAGCGTCCCATCTGCACAAGAGGGAAGAGGTCAACTGAAATATGTTGTTTATCGAAGCTCTGCCCTGACATCGCTTGTATCTAAACGGTTTTACTGCTCTTGCACTTGTTACTTAACCCCTCATCTTACCTCAGAGAAAGTGGACTAGGACTACGTGCCACGAAGCCACGTTCCCTTGCCTGACTCTATTGGGTAATTTGCAGTTAGTTAGATTAACCTCCGACTCGTCTTCGTGTTACGTTCTTGGATAAACAGGTTCGACTGATGCTCTGAGGACACTTCACAAGCCAGGGATCTGGGTCAGGGGTGCAGGTGACAATCTGACAGGAGTACATACATTCAGAGCCAGATTTAGGGGCAGGTGACCCAGGTGCCGGGATTGGGAGGGTGCCGAGCTCAGGGTGCTGTAAGGTATTCAAAAGTTTAACTAATGTGTGTGTGGTGGGGGGAAGGGGGCGCTGAGGACACTCCTCTCCTGGGGCACCATTTGTTCTAGGGCTGCCCTGTGTACACTGGCTTCTGTGTTCCATCTCCTCCCTGTGGCCCCGTCATAAGGTGAGCTCGCCCTTGAAGGCAGCTTGGCCATAGTTCTACCTGTCCTGGTTTTCCTCTGAAGGGTGGGGCTGAGCCGATGCTGTTGAAAACCTGAGCAGGCGGAGCACAGGACTGCCTAAGAGCCTGAGA